CCATCAGACTCCTTTTAGGTCCCAGCAGACTAATATAATCATACAAATATGGAATTTGATAGATTCAAGTGTATAGCCCTGCTAAACCATCTTATTTGTACTTATTGCTTTTCTATAAATCAGTTGTTTAAAAATTTGAGAAAAATGTTCCTTTCCTTTCTATTTCATGGAAAAGTTTAAGGAGTGTTGGTATTAGTTCTTTAAATGTCTTGTACAGTTTAGCAGAGAATCCATCAGGTCCTGGACTTTTCCTTTTTGGGAGACTGTTTATTGCTGCTTCAATTTCATTGCATGTTATGGATCTGTTTAGGTGGTTAATATCCTCTTGGTTCAGTTTTGGATGGTCATAAGTATGCAGAAATATGTTCATTCTTCAAGATTGTCCAATTTATTAGAATATTGTTTCTCAAAGTAGTCCCTGATGAGTCCCTGGATTTCCTTGGTGTTTGTTGTTATCTCCCCTTTTTCATTTTTTATTTTACTAATCGGTTCTTTTCCCTCCTCATTTTAGTCAGGCTTGCCAGGGGTTTGTCAATATTGTTTATTTTTTCAAAGAACCAGCTTTTTGTTTCATTGATTCTTTGTATTTTTTTTGTCTCTATTTCATTAATTTTGGCCCTTATTTTTATTATTTCTCTTCTTCTGCTTGTTTTGGGTTTTGCTTGTTCTTGTTTATCTAGGAGTTTGAGATGTAGCATTAGGTTGTTTATTTGAGATCTTTCTGTTCTTTTAATGTATGCACTCATGGCTATAAACCTTCCTCTTAGGACTGCCTTTACTGTGTCCCATAGGTTCCGGTAGGTTGTGTTTTCATTTTCATTAACTTCCAGGAACTTTTTAATTTCCTCTTTTATTTCATCAATGACCCACTGATCATTGAATGATGTGTTGTTCAGCTTCCAGTTGTTTGCATGTTTTCTATTATTGTTTTTGTTGTTGAGTTCTAGTTTTATTGTGTTGCAATTAGATAGAATGCAGGGACTTATTTTAATTTTCTTATATTTGTTGAGGCTTGCTTTGTGTGCTAAGATATGGTCTATTTTGGAGAAATTTCTATGGGCTGCTGATAAGAATTGTTTATTGTGATGTTGCCAGATGAAATATTCTGTAGACATCAGTTAGGTCCATTTGATTTATGGTGTCATTTAGTTCTAGTATTTCTTTGTTGATTTTTTTGCCTGGATAACTTCTCTATTGGTGATAGAGAGGTATTAAAGTCTCCCATTACTACTGTTTTTGGTTCTATATGTGCTTTTGAGTCCTTAAGTGTATGTTTGATGAAGTTGAGTGCACTAACATTGGGTGCATATAGGTTGATAATTGTTATTTCCTTTTCATGTATTGCCCTTTTATCTTTTATTTCATTTTAATATTTTATCAGTTTTACATTTACTCACATGTGTATACATTGTTTTGGTCACTTTCTCCTCCCACTTCTGGGGAGAACTTGTTCTGCCCTTTTCTTCTCCAATTTTGTTGAAGAGAAAACATAAGAGATAATAAGAAAGACATAGAGTTTTTGCTAGTTTGAGATAAAGACAGCTATACAAAGAGAATCCTAGCATTGCTTCCATGCATTTATGTATTGAAACCCACATTCGTTCATCTCTACTAGACCTGTTCTCTCATGGCCTGGGTGAGCTTGTCCTAGAAACTTAACTGGGAGCAACAGGAGATTAAAGAAGGACAAAAGAGAAGACAAACATGCAGAAAGCTGGGATCACATGGGCTGGGCACTCTGGTGGAGACACACAACAGCCTCATCCACCTCCAGCAACTTTATTATATAGAGTGGCAAACAAGAAAGTAGAACAGCAATTTTGGGGGGGGCATGACATTGTAGTTATCAGGAACAGGAGGAACCTGCGATTGCTACTCTCTGGACTTAAACATCTTAGGAAAAGCAGCTGTGCTGCATTTTGCCCTTGTCCCCTTCTGCAGCTGGAGGCTGTGCCATCCCAGCCTGCAGATTATTAGGCATAGGTGTGCTCACTTCCTTCTGCTGCTGGGGGCTGTCAAGTTCTCATAGGCTTCTCATAATCTGCTCCCTACATCTCTCCCGTTCTATTTCTTAAACGCACCCAATGAAGCCCGACTCTTAATCCAAGGAGCTGTCTTCTCTTTCTTCAGTGCCCACGATTCTCAGGTTTGGTGTTTTGATGGAGTCAGTGAGTTCTTGCATATTCCTTTCACAGGTCTTGAGTTATTTGACTAATAGCTCTTCAGCTTTTCCTTTAATTTCCATTTTACCTTTGAGGTCTGAGATTCTGTCTTCTGCTTGTTCTAGTCTGCTGGAGTGGCCTTCCATTGTGTTTTGTGTTTTTGTTTCATTCTTTTTTTCTGAGGTTTTTCCATGTCATGGGTCACTTCCTCTTAATATTGTCTATTTTCATCTTTAATTCATTTATCTCTCTGTTTATGGTATTCTCTGTTTCTTGTTGGTGTTTATTTGGGGCTCCTATGAGTTCATTTATTTGTTTCTGTGTCTTCTCATATTCTTTATTTTTGGTGCCTTGAAATTTGTGGAGTGCCTCTTGTACCTTTTGGTTAACCATGTCTAGTAACATCTCCATGAGTTTCTCATTGATTACTTGCAGGATTTCTTCTTTCAGAGTGTTCTTGTGGGCATCGTTGGGTTCCTTGGTGTCTTTCATCTTTGTTTTGTTGGAGTCTGGAACTGGGTATCCATTTTCTTCATTTCCCTCTGAATCCTATATTAAATTATTTTTTTTTTGGAGGGGGAGAATGGTTTCCATCCCTTTTTTGTCTTCCCATCCTTCCACTTGGTACTGTGCAACTATGTTCTTAATAGGCTAGTTGGTGGTTTCAGTCACCTGTTTTATTTCCCTTGATTTAATTTTGTTTTGTGGCTGTGTTGGGTTTTAGCTAATTGTGTGTGTGTGTGTTATTTCTGTCCCTGGTCTCAGTGTAATTTAGTATTTGTTAATTCAGAATAGTAAAACTAACAAAACAAAACCAAACCCAAAGAAATCAATGTGGAGAGATGTACAAACAAACATAAACAAACAAGAAACAGAACAAACAAACAAAAATTCTACATTCAGGAACAACAGAATTTCAGTCTTACAAGTTCTGGTGTTACTCCTCCACCATCCAATCCTGGTGTTAGTATTTAAGCAGAAGGTCTGTTGTAGTCTTGCCAGGTGGTTGGATAGTTGTTTTTTTTCTTCTGTCTTTCAGAGGCAGCTGCTTGGTCAGCTCCTCCCTCAGTGGGGTGTGGCAGTTTAAGTTTGTTTGTTGTCCTCAGATTCCAGAATCAGCTCTTCAGCCCACCAGCTGTCTTGCTTTGGAGTTGGATTTTCACTGTGCTTGATTACTGGGGGCTTGTTTCTTTGCCTTGCCCCCTTTCTCTGGAGCAAGGTCAGTGACCCATCAGCTGGCCCCCTGCTATCAGCATGTTGTGATGGTTTGCTGATTATTTTTCAATTTTTCAGTGTTGTTTGACTATGGATGTTGTTCACTGGCTCAGGAGATGAGTTTTGTTGACCGCTATCTGTCCTATTTTAGGCAGCGGCTTATCACCCTCCCTCTGTAAGCCCTTCTGTCTTTCTAGCCTTTGTTTACTGAAAGTTTGCATGGAGATCAGCTCCTTGTCCTCCCCCCTTCTCTGGTGTGCTTTCAGCAACTCTGCCCCTCTGCTGTGTGTTAGTTTTCAGGTCCTTGTTTCTTGTTCAGTTTTTTTTTCTTTGCAGGGTGGGTCAGTCTGCCTAAGGAGCTATGCTGGTTTTTCCTAGGAGTGGCTGGGGAAATACTGTGTATCTTTTGGTGCTTACCTGTTGGTCTGCCAAATATCTCCCAAGCAGGTTGGAACCAGCATCTGGCAGCATGACAGACTTCCTGTTTTCTCAGTGTAACGTGGCATGGAGAAGCTTTCCACAGGCTAGGGTTTAGGGTGTCGGAGCTTCAATTCTCCTTACTGTTTTATTTCCACCCAGTGTGGCTCCAGCATCTCAGCAAGGTTTTGGACTCATGGAGCTCACACTGTCTGCTTCTACACCCTAGTTGCCATCTTGGATCTCTCTTCAAATACCACATTTTCATTGGTAGGGGCATCTTGGCTGTTTCCATACTTTGGCTATTGTGAATAGTGCTGAAATAAACATGGGTGTGCAGGTGTCTTTGTGATAACCTGACTCCCATTCCTTTGGGTGTATCCTTAGGAGTGGTATTGCTGGATCATATGGCAAATCTATGTTTAGTTTTTAAAGAAGTCTCCATATTGTTTCCAAAGTGGTTGTAGTAGCTTAAATTCCCACCAACAGTGTATGAGTGTTCCTTTTTGCCCGCATCCTCACCAACATTTGTTGTTGGTGGTGTTCTTGATGATAACTATTGTAACATGCTCTTTTTCTTAGTATGAAGTGACCTTCTTTGTCTCGCTTGACAATATAAGTTTGAAGTCTACTTTGTCTAATATAAATATTGCTAGTCCTGCCCTTTTTGGGGGGACATTAACTTGGTAAATCTTCTTCCAGCCTTTCACCCTAACCAGTGTTTATAAGATGGGTCTTTTGTAAGCAACAGATTTTTGGATCTTCCTTTTTAATACAGTTTGTCAAATGGTGTCTTTTAATGGGGGAGTCCATTGACATTCAGAGTTAATATTGATAGGTATCTGGTGATTCCTACCATCTAGTTATTTTTGTTAAGTATTTGAGTGTGTGCAGCCAAATCAATGCTACTTTCTGATTAGTTGTCTTTTTTTCTCCTGTGGTTTAATATTTCCTATCCTCTTGTGGTTTTGTTTGCTTTCATCTTCTGTATGCAGAATTCCTTGTAGAATCTTACATAATGGTGGCTTGGTGGCCATATATTGTTTGAGTTTCTGTTTATCATTTCTTGTACCTCTGCCTTCATGTTTTATATTGTTAATTAAGATTCTGACTCATTTTTGACATGCTCTTTTAGAATGGGAACTTGAAACTAATTCTGACTTCATTATCCTCATGTACATATTTTTTCCTTTTCTTCTTGTGAAGGTCATGGGCAGTGCAATTGTGGAAGATGTGATTGCAAAGCAGGCTGGTATGGGAAGAAGTGTGAGCACCCACGCTCTTGCCCGCTATCCTCTGAGGAGAGCATCAAGAAGTGTCAGGGAAGTGCTGATCTGCCCTGCTCTGGAAGGGGTGAGTGAGGTTCCTGGGACTTGTCACTGCTACCAAAAGTATCATTCAAAATGAATTCAGTTCACATGTGCCTTATGTAATAGATAGTTGTGATTTCTGAGTGAGGGAAGACTATTCTTTTCAGAACTGATAACAAGCCCATTTCTGATGAGTCAAAGTATCAGGAGAAAGTCAGTTTCTCTCTCTCTCTCTCTCACATACATACACCACACACATATGCACACACACACACACACACACTGCCAGTCTACTTTACCTTTGAGATCTGTTCAGTTCAGTTTATTCAGCTCGAAGTTACATTAAAAACACAGAAAGCACATTTTAGATGTTTGCTTACAGCATTTTGAGTGAGACTATCTAATTGTCCAGTGACATTTGTGAAACCCAATACCATTATTTTGGGGAGATTGTCAGTTTTTGAAAAAGCATAGTATAATCAGACAGCCATGGATCAGTTCTGCCATTTTTAGAAGATATGTAGCCTCGGGTTTGCTCTTGCTACCAAATTGGTACAAACTTCAGGAGAAGGAATTATTTATTTAGAGGAAGAATGGTGCCATTCTTTTTGATTTATCAAGTAAAGAAATAGGAATTCATTTCTCACACAAGAATATCAAAGTTAATATGAAATGTCTTTCAGAGGAACTAACCATTGAAGTTATTGCAAATTTTGTTCAAGAATGAGGAAAAGGAGAAGGATTTCTTTTACTTGAGCGGTAGGTCAGAAATTAGTTTTAAATGGTACTTTTTATAAGATAAAATTCTCACAGCACAAAATTTCACCTTCTCAGGTGTTTAAAAACTCAACGTTTTAAATGTAGTCAGAGAATTATACAACAGTCAGGACTAAGCTAGAAAATTTTTATCATCCTAGGAAGAAGCCCTGTACCCTGTAGCAGTCACTCCCTATTCTCTTGTCTCCAACTCCTAGAATTCACTAATGTACATTCTGTCTGTGGAGCCACCTATTCTGGATATTTCACATAAGTAGAATTATAAAACGTGTAGTATTGTGTCTGTTTTTTTTAAATCAGCATTATGTTTTCAAGATTTACCAATGTGGTGGCATGTGTCACATCATTTTTATGGCTAAATAATATTCCACAGTATGTGTATAGTACAGTTATTTCTCCATTTTTCAACTGACGGACATTTGGACAATTGGTTGGTTTCTTCTTTCTGGTCATTGTGAATAATGCTGCTTTGAGCTTTCATGGATAAGTTTTCATATGAGCATATGTTCTAATTTGTTCTGAGTGCACATTTATGAGTAGAACTGTTGAGCCATGTGATATTTTCATGTTCAACTTTTTTGAGGTATTGCAAGACTGGCTTTAAAGTCTTGTCTTTACATTCCTACCATTATTATGGTGCTTCTGGCTTTTCCAGATCCTTGTAATTACTTATTATGCTCTTTTCAATTACTTGTAGTCTTCTTTGTGTAGAAAACTCCACAAAGTTTCCAAGATTTTATGTACCATAGGTATTTTCTCAAGTGTAATACTTTAATGATCATAAATAGGATCAGGTAGTATTAAAAATATGATATGGGTTGAAGTATTTTGATTTTGAAGTATTTTTTGATTTTAGAACTACTTCTGACTATCCCTGAATTTTATTAATAACCTGTATAGACACCACTGTTACATTTACATTAATATATTGTCATAGGGTACTTAGGAAGCCTGTCATTCTTTTAAAGTATCAAAAGTTAAAAATTTAGTACTACTGTTATTTACCCACACTAATAATCTACAGCAAAAAATTGGTGTTACTGTTTTGCATGTACAAAGACCTTTGTTGTGTCCATGTGAAAAAGAATGGACATAGGAGCTAATTAGTGTACCTTCTTACCTAAAAAAATCAGTTCAACTTTTCAGAACTATGTTATAATACAAGGACAAATCCATTCTAAATTGAAAACTTTGGGAAAGAAAGAAATAACTAATACCAAAATAAGTTATGTTCTTGAGAATCTTTTTCCAAATATTTTACTTTATAAAAAAAATTAAGATATAATGATTTTTCTTATTTTCTTAAGTGGTAAAGTACAGGGACATAGGAAATCCTAAAACACTGTTTAGGTGAAGGGACTTGCATTCTGCAATTATTAAAATCTTACATGATTTTGTTACTGGGAGAAGTCAATCGGACATGTGGTTATTATTTCAAACCAAAAAACCTGGAACAAAATTTATAAATGCTTTCATATTTTCAGGTTAAAATAACAAATTATATAACAGGAAAATGAGAAAAGCACATAAAATATCTTGCAAACATTAGACCTCACTTAAATATATAGTAGACCCTGGGTATCTTCAGGTCTACAGCTCCAAGGAGACCGTTGCATAAACACCACACATTCTCAGCCACATAGAATTCAGTGCTGTGCTGCAGGTGTTTGACTCATTTTTCCCATAACACCGCACAGCTTCCACTAAAGACTGGATGCCTTTCAACAAATCTCAAAGTTACACTTGATCACTTCAATTAAACACATTTACTTTTATGTTGCTTTTGGGGCACCATTTGCTTTTTTCACAAAAGTAAGGTCAAGAAAACACTCAGCAAATTACACAAAGATTCAAGCACAACTGAGGGTAACATAGATGTTTCTTTGTATCCATTGAACCGTATCATGCACACATGGGAATTTGTTTTGTTTTGAAAGTTGTTTTGTTTTATTATTATTATTATTGACCATTTTGTTCAAAACTAGGTGTATTAAATCTGTGAATAAGACAGACTTACTGCATACGTGTACCAATGGCTTTTCAATTATCTAAGTTTTTCTTTTTTTTTAGTGATACTAGGGATTGAACTCAGGGACTCACACTCTTCAAGTACTCTTCCACTTGTACCACACCCAAGTGCTTTTGATATTAGTTTGTTTTTCAGAAAGGTTTCATGCTAACTTTCGTGCAGGCTTCCTTCAGGCCATGATCCTCCTACCTCTGCCTTTGCAAGTCGCTGATATTACAGTTGTGCCACCATACCCAACTAAAATTTTAATATATAACACGAGTTCAAGACAGTTATTGTGGACTTATACATATCAGTCTTTATTAAACTCTAACTAGGCTTGATCATCAAACACACTTTGGTGTCCCATCTTTCTCAAGAGTCACTATTTAGCTACTGTTTTAAAGCAATGGAGTATATTTAAAATATATTTTATTGGAAAGATGTTGAATCCATGAATATGACTGTGACTTAAAAATAATAAATTCAATTGAGCCTCTAGAAGTACTTTCAAATAAACAATAAGCTTCACTAGTCTCCTTAACAGAGAAGTGGAGATATTGATGGGTGAAGCAATCTCTCAGGGAACCATAACAAAATTGTTTTTTGCTAATGAAAACCCAAGATTTATGACAGTGAATCTTGTGCTCAGACCAATGGCCAGAGACCTTTGCTTTCCTGTGGAGCTACGTCTGCAGACTCGTTGGCACTGGATGTTTTGAAGCAAACATCCAATATGAAAACTTAAAGGATTAGTTCTGTAATTTTTGAATGAACAGTGCAGCTGTGGTTACATGAGTGAAGAAAGCAATTACAAGCCCCATCAGTTTGCAAGCCTGAGAGCCTCATCGGCTCACCAGCTGAGGAAAAAAAATCTCCTGGTAGGATGTTCCTTAGGGGCCAGGTGAAACCATTTCCCCACTGGAAATTAAATTAGATTACTTGCTTCTACTGGTGACGACTAGTGGGATATTATGTCTGGAGGGCAGGAGAATAACTTACAAGTTTTCTTAAGTTCTCTATTAGCCCTGCAATTTTTTATTACTTTTCATTATTACTTACAGACATCATTTGATTTGAATAGATGTATCTTCCATAGTCAATGTAGATATAAACATATTTATCCTAATTCTGCTCTTGGGAGTTGGAATGCAGAACCACCTTCCTTAATTCTCATATGAATGTTCTGCTTAAAAACTAACAGTGGCTTGTGATAGGATATTCATTACTTTTAAGCTCTTCTTGACATAATAATACAGCTTCATTATGACTGGGGCTCTGTGCATGAATTTGAGTGTAACCAAAACTACTAGCAAAAGTGATGCATGTCACTTTTGAGTGGAAGCTTCAGGAGGCAGGGAAGGGTTTTTGTTCCCTGTCTCCCTCTTGTTGGAGAATTTGTGGTGCTGGAGATAGGCACCAATCCCTTTGGTTGAGTCTTGAAATGGGAATGGTTAGCAGAAAACTCTGCTGATCTCCCAATGATGTGTAAACTGCATGAAAAATAAACTTTTGCTGTTTGGAGTAACTGAAATTTGGGGTATTTATTATTGCATCAGAACTCCAACTGATACTCTCTTTCACGTTCAAAATTTAGAGAATATATTTACTACAAAGCAAACAGACAAGCAAACAAAACAAACTTCACATATACACTTGAAAAGGTAAGCAGGGAAATGCTTGAGGTTTATAACTACGTGTTCTTGTTATCAATATCTAAACCACAATATATATAAGCACATGTGTTCTTTACAAATGAAGTAATCATGCTCTTATAAAAACATTCTTGTGGGCTTATAACACATAAAATGATAAGAACATCAAATACATTTTCTTTTTAATTTCCCTGAAACACAATGAAGTAAGAAGAAATATAATTATTCTTTTTACAGAAAAATTAACTGAAAACCTTAGCAGCTTTCTTTCTTACATAGTAAGTTCCAGAGGTGCAAATATTAATATAAACTCTTAACACAGGGCTTCTGATTCCAGAGTTGTTTTAGACAATTTATTGGTTCTTTTATTATATTAATTTGCTAAATAATATGAAATATATTTCACTGTTGAAATATAATTCTGCAAAATCATTATAGTTGCATAGAATTTCTATTATATGATTATAGCAAAAATAATTTAGCTTATCTTCTTATCTTAGAAATCTATATTGCTTCCTACTTTATTCAATGCCATAATTTGCAGTCTTGCAGCAGAACTGTTCACAAATCCATAGCATTAATTCTTGGGCATGAAATGCATAC